AAACAGAATCAATGGTTTTGTAGAATAAAAATATTTATCTTTGGTCACAGTGAATAGTTTTAAGTCGAGTACTGTTTTCGGACCGTTGACTAGTATGTTTGGAAGCTATCCGCTCAAAAATATTATTTACTGGAGTTTGTGACAATAATAAAATGCTGAACGGAGAGCGTGCTTTTATGTTGAACACATAATAGATTCTACTTGAGCCAATCAGGGTTAAAAGAGCCCGGGCAGGTCTAGGCAAGCCTATTGTTCCTATTGTAGTAGAGTGACGCTCATTAGTAAACCTATCCACTTCATTATATATGGAGGAAGGCACTTAATTAGTATGGAGGAAGGCACTTTTTCCCAGGTTATAACAATAGGTGACGTCATTGACTAGACCATATGCATTTTAATAAAGGGAAGGCATACGGAAGGCAAGGGAAGGCACCAACAAGGCTTATCTTTGCTGAAGCCCTACTTCTAGCGATCAAGCAGTACGATAGTGTAGAGGGGAGGTGGCGAGGGTCTCATTCAATATTCGTTTTCGATTATTTATATAGTCTTCGACGCTTTATTAGCAAGGGAAGATCTTTTTAAAGTTAATGCGAAAAAATCGAAAAGAAAAAGATGATCACTCGTTACAATCTGTCAATTGACCACGTTTCAATTAATAAGCAGATAAACACTACTCAATTTTGGTTCTGGCAATAACTGCAAGATCCGTCTTGAAATAGCTAAGGAAGCCAACAAATTGTTAAATTGTCTTATGGTGTGGCGTGGTGCATAAACAAAATTTTACGTCCCAATTGCCCCTGTTTTAGAAGTGCTAACTGCCATCATGTGCCTTGTTATTGATGACGCTACATTCGGAAAAATTGAAGAAACGGATAAATGATGTTTCCTCTTACGCGTACACCTGTTTTCTTCTCTTTTGCCTTTTTTAACTTAAAAAATATAAGCATATAATCTTATTATTTCTTTGTTTTTGCTTACTTCTAACTGGAGGTCTTTTAGCACTATTAGATACTGTAAGGAGAATGGTGGCTATTTCGTCTTAAAAAAATGAAAAATGAAAACAAAATAAATATATAATACAATCTCCTTATCATGATTTATTTCAAATTTTTTCTGTTGATTAGCAAACCATTCAAAAGAGAAAGATGGAATTTACCCCTCGAACTGCCAAGTGCAGCTTAATGAATACTTCCATGCAGTTTCTTTATTGGCATCCTGTGTTCTTAACAAGTGTGACGTTATTAATAATAATGCCAAACAGTAACATTTCATTTATATTTCCCACATCAATTCGAGTGTTTAGTAGAGAGCAACATCTGTACTGACTTTAAAACAATACGTCGCGTGCTCTTCGTATTAAGAATTAGATTATATTAAGGAAATGATCAAAACTCGTGCGTTAGGCCATTAACACCGACCCTTAATTCAGACAATCAGCTTCGAGAGTTTCGTACACGGCACGAATCGAAGTTTGAATTTTTATTATTGACTGTTGAAAAACTGTGATCAGCGGTTAAAGCTATAACGAAATCAGCTGCAAGCTTTTTAACATTTTATCTCACTTACTTACGGGGCGAAAAATATTTGGGATCTTCTTTTAGGTATTTTGTAAACATACTACCGTGCATTAACAAAACCACGTGACTGTTCATTTTTCCCGCGTAGCCCTGCGGCTACGGTGAATTGTTGAGCTGTTTCGCGTAGTCGGGACTGCGGAGAACATTTTGCTCGTATTTTGCCGTCTCGGTAATTCAAGAATCTCGTCTTTTCGTAAAAAAGTTTTCAATTCACCTGCTTTAAGTGAGAGGGAAGCGAAATATGTAAGTTGTGTCTAATTTCTGCTCAGATTTAGGCTTTTAATCCACTGTTGTGACTACATTTTTATCTAGCTAAGCTCATATTTAAAGTGCTACTGAAACGAAAATTCTAAGTGGCTTTTTTTTACTTAAAATACTTTTTCATTCCAAGAAGGTCACTAATAACTAAAAAGAATGCTACTTTACGTCCAAGAAGTCGCCGTGATCGGCGCTTGAAGTGTGGTACCAAAGAGGGACAAAATCTGAAAACGGAGTCTGCGAACTAGTCAGCGGATAACCACACTAGTGACGTCACATGGTTGAGTCGCAAAGCGAAAGGTTGCCATTGCTGATATAATCCACTGTTGTCGAACTGTTGAGTTCGCACTGTAAACTTCTGGGGTTTTTTTACGGTCTACATTTGGAAAATGTCTACTTCAGACGATTCAGATTCGAACACAAGCTCTAGGAGTGTTTCTGAAGAAGTGGAGAGCGAAATTGAGGACGATTTTGGCGTAGTTGGCGGCCTCGTGGAGCCATATCGTTTCGAGCCTATTGCCCCGGAAGACTATGAAGAGCCCGAGGAAGAAGAAGACGAAGACGGTTTAACTCCGGCTATATTAGAGGCTAGATCTGAAAATCAGATAACCCTTGATACATGGTAAGTAAGATATGTAACGATAACACTTCAGGCCGAGCGAATTTAGTTTTCTACGAACTTCATGCATACAACAATAATAGTTATATGCATTAAGTTCTCTTTGTTTACGGTTTGTTCTTCACTAAGTAACTATAGTAACTTACGTGTTTCCCTTCTAAATTCTTCTAAATTTTGTAGGTGTGAATGTGGAAACTGCAGTACTGAGCTTTTGTCCAATGCCTTGGAGTTCCGTTGTTGCAAGGAGGTCGCCGCAGCCATGGCAAAACTTACCTTTGAGGGAATAGAAGGAAGTTGCGTTCTCGACCACACGGACTTCGACGCGCTAACAAATGCGACTGTACTCGAGCAAGTTTGCCCTCTTTTGAAGGACAGAAAGGGTCGCAGCTACAAATTTCCTAGCCGAGGAACTCAAAATGCTAAGAATGAGTAAGTATTTGTGCTTCTGTTCAATAGCACCTAAGTTCATTCTTACCACATTCACTGGTTAACCTGAGTTAATGTCTGGATGCAGCTGCTGGATGGTGAACTGTCAGAATCGAAAAAAAAAATAAAACCTACAAAGGAATTTCTAAGGAATCTTCCACTATTTTGCGTGACGAAGAGTTATCCCTCGTTAAACTACAGTCTGCAATGTTTGCAGGTGTGAAATCTCCTCAGAGGAATTAAGAAAAATGCAACTGACATGTCAGTCAGAATAAAATAATAAGACTGTTACATGAGTGAATGGTGTGATGATGCCTAGCCAAAGTTAACGTTAAGCAATATTTTTGGTTAGTGATATTGTAGGATTTTAGAGCAAGCCATAGAAAAGTTCTTTTTGTTATAAATATGTAATAAATATTTTTCCNTTGCCCTCTTTTGAAGGACAGAAAGGGTCGCAGCTACAAATTTCCTAGCCGAGGAACTCAAAATGCTAAGAATGAGTAAGTATTTGTGCTTCTGTTCAATAGCACCTAAGTTCATTCTTACCACATTCACTGGTTAACCTGAGTTAATGTCTGGATGCAGCTGCTGGATGGTGAACTGTCAGAATCGAAAAAAAAAATAAAACCTACAAAGGAATTTCTAAGGAATCTTCCACTATTTTGCGTGACGAAGAGTTATCCCTCGTTAAACTACAGTCTGCAATGTTTGCAGGTGTGAAATCTCCTCAGAGGAATTAAGAAAAATGCAACTGACATGTCAGTCAGAATAAAATAATAAGACTGTTACATGAGTGAATGGTGTGATGATGCCTAGCCAAAGTTAACGTTAAGCAATATTTTTGGTTAGTGATATTGTAGGATTTTAGAGCAAGCCATAGAAAAGTTCTTTTTGTTATAAATATGTAATAAATATTTTTCCCCTAGGAGCTATCGTGCCACTGCATACCGCTTTTTAGTGCGATGGATATTTGGACCACTTGGATGGAATAACAGTAGACCACTTCCAGCATGTATCTACCACAAAATCAGGCAAAAGTTCCAGACTGCCTCCACCAGAGGTTACAGTTCCGCAGAACGTAGGCAAGGTGAAGCCAGTGCAAGATAGCTCATGTGAGCACACAAACAACGGCTCTTTTAGGAGCCACCAACTGTATAAAAGCTATGACCTAAATGATTTACAGTTCTTGATCTTAATTTATTCTCAAACTCAGAAAACTGTGAACACTTGAAATATTTCAGAAATGTTTATGGTATGTTGTGACCAGTCACAACAAAGATCAGGACATGCGAGCAAGCCTCAAAGCCTTGAACTAATTATTGCTGTTTCGGCCGGTTTAGTTTTCCACATACCAGAAATGTTTTTATTGACCTCTGTTTTCTCAGTGTCACAGTAAATATTATCATTATCATTATTATTATTATTACAGTATACTTTCAAGACAAGCCTTGGATTGTTTGGCAACATTTCACTTTATTATGTCAAATGGACAATCTGATTCAGCAAACATGCTATGGCAATGGGTGGCATCAAAATAGGCAGCTTTAAACAATCTGTAAGAGTTCACTGGGTGCCCATTAGGAGTTTTAATGCAGTAAGTTCAGCTAATCCCTAGCAATAACATCATCCTCGATTTTCATCTTAGTGAGCAAAATGGTGAAAATATACAGGTTGTGGCATATTTTGGCAATAGCTCTACACCATCCTGTAATATTGTGAAAGAGAAAAAATAATAATAAAAGAATTAAGTTATACTGGCAGAGTCCTATTTGTCATTGGTATGTAGTAAAACTATTCTGTCTGCCGTTTTTGTTGAGTGATAAACTATTCTTTAAGATTTATTGTCAAAAGTTCCTTTTGATATTCAATATTTTGTACACAAACTAGCATAAATGCTTTAAGTGTTACTGGCACCAGCGCAGCCAACTCTGGAGTGGTTTTTCATCGGCTTCTTGCACTTTCTACACACTGGAGCCTTTCGCTTCTTCCTGGCAGGCTGCTGGTCAGCACTACTGCATGATGCCTGTAGTACATCTTGAACTTCAACTGCAAGCAAAACCATTCAATAAAAGTACATATAGAGGGAGCACACACACATCTTGTGGGCAAGAGGAGCATATATTTATTATAATAAAGGTAATGACAGATAGTAAAAGCATTAGTTACATACAGTTTATTATAAAAACTGGCCTTACAAGCCTTATTCAAGAAACTTGAGTGGATAATAGTGACCATAGTGTAATGTACACAATCAGAACATATCTTTGTTATAAATACTTGCAAGTATGGGCATTTCTAGTAATTAATCACATAACCTCACCTGAAGGGTATGCCGCTGTTTCTTTTTGTTTTCTCTTATTGTAGTTTTCCACTGCCTCTGCTCTACTTCGTCTCTCTGTGAACTGCGAGTTCAAAGGTGCTGGGGTTTTTGTTTTGTACTTCAAGAGGATAGCATTCCTCTCAGCCACGCGCATGCTGAACACCAGTTCTGCCACCTCATCCACATATTCTGGTAAAAGAGGGGGCACTGTTAGGAAAGTGCTTAATGCCTACAGAAGTGGTAAACTGGGTTTTCAGTCCGCGATCATTTCCCCGTAATTTTTCTGCTAGGTTTTTCTGTGTAACAGCCAGACACCCACCCCTGCCTTTATTTCCCTTGAACTATTGGTAGGACCCTTTAAGAGCCATTCATCTTCCATAAATCATGGTTGGGAACCACCACTGTGGCTACACTGAAAGTTCTGAAAAATAACTATACTTACTGTATGTAGGAGGGACTCTAATTTCTCGCACAACTTCTTCTCCAAACTTGTATTTAGGGTATGTCACTAAAAGGTACTCCTTTCCATCTTTTGCCTTTTGCGGTTCCCTCAACAAATTCTCATTGAAATGCAGACTGGCTAAGATGTGCCTAAAGCAAAAACACACCAATAAAGGCTTGATTTAACTGAATTGTCAGCCACTTTTACCTAAGCTAATGATTTAGGTTTTGTTTTGGACGAAATGTTTAGTAGTAGTAAACCTTTATTTAACTAGGGTAATCCCTTCAGAATACTTAAAAGTATATTTGTTATCAATAGGAGCCCTTAATTAAGACTAATAAAAAAAGTCTAAAATAAATAATAAGAAACTAAGTAACTATAAGTTAATAATAGTACAGTATAACAATTAAAACTAATTCTTATTTACTAAATAATTATTAAATAATTATTGTTTGGAGCAATTATTAAGGGGGTATGGTTAGAAAAGATTCCTTTTGTAAAAATTCTCTAGTGTTGGTAGACGACATCCACCTCTGACGTCCAAAACAACAATTTACACACCCTACCTGCAGTATGTGCCAAACCATGAGAAACATATCATCTTAGGATGGAACTGATTCAACGTAGAGTGAAAACCCTCCAAGCAACTTGTTTGGTCCTCACTAGACAACTTTTTTATATCATTAAGGAGCCTTGTATTCATCAAAATTTTTTTCATCTTGTTATAGACATTTGTGCCTGAAATACATTAACCAATACATTAGTTTCTCTTTTTTTAAGACAAAAAGGTTGCTTCTGACATGTATTATTTTGTTTCAGGATATTTTTTACACCCTTTACAAACAGGTCATTAAAAATTCTAAACATAAAAAGAATCCTCTAAAGCCAAGGATTAAAAAAGCAATTCAAGACCTAGACTTGGACTCTAAGAGGGGTATGGAGCATCTTCAAACTAAAACACCTTTAAAACACATTTATAAACCACCTTGTTGAAATGAACTGAACTGAAACAGGTGATACATATTACCAGCTTTAAAGAGTTAAATTAACTGGTGGTTGGAACTGCTTGAAAATGTGTTCCAACAAAAACTCACCTTTTTTAAGCCAATATCGTCTTGATAGAGGTCCATGGACACACTGTTTAAACAGAGGTTCTGGGTGTTGAGTATGTTTATTACAAACATGCCTAATAATGGACTTCCACTTTGCTAAAATCAGCTCACCAAATCCAAGCTTGGTGGAAGTAGCACACCAATGCAAATGATTTTTTATGGCCTTTTGCCACTTCACAAGGAGTTCACAGCCACTTTCTTTTCCAACTTGAAGTAACTTCTTTGTTACTGATTTGGCAACATGCTAGATATCAAAAAAGTGTCTGGTTGCTGGCTCATGCTCCCTAATCCATTTGGCAATTGAACGGTGCCTGTCTGATATGAACACATGAATTTTTAACCCTGCTGCTTTTAGGAAGGCAAAACTGTCTTGGGCGNTACTGATTTGGCAACATGCTAGATATCAAAAAAGTGTCTGGTTGCTGGCTCATGCTCCCTAATCCATTTGGCAATTGAACGGTGCCTGTCTGATATGAACACATGAATTTTTAACCCTGCTGCTTTTAGGAAGGCAAAACTGTCTTGGGCGCCCTTTAACTCCATGTCACTGCTGCTCTTTACTTGGTTTGCCTAACATTAAAAAAATATACATTTATCACTCAAAGATAATATTTCCTACAATTTTTGTGTAGTAGTGGCAGATTTTCCCATTCAGCAAAAGTTTTAATCATGCTATTAACGAGTCTTATGTGGTCCGTCACACATGGATCTAGGTGTCAAGAAATACCAGATTTTTATTTTTATAGTGGCTGGGAAAACAGGTTGGTTGTTTTTCATATCTATATTTGTAGATATAGATGAAAATATACCTGCACCAGCTCAAAATGTACAATCTTAGCAACTGCACAACAGAACATTGTGTACGCTCCATATTTTGCAGAGTGTCCCATGGAGTCAAATCTGCCATCTCCGCACCAAATTGCCTCTCCCTTTTCTTTAATCTGATTCACCAGTTTGGACCTGTATCGTTCCCAGTAGGTCAGAATGGCTGGGAATAAAAACTTGCTCTGATGGACAAAGTAAGTACGTGCATTGTATACAGAAATGCCCATGTGTTTTAGAACCAGGAGCACTTTACTAACAGTTGCCCCCGCCATTAGAATTCCAAAGCTTAGCAGGATATTCCCTGCCGGGTAGCGCCCAAGCACCATTGGCTGTGACCTCCACAGAAATGAGTTAGGACCACAATTTCTGCAATTCTGCATCAGTTACCATGGTGCCATTCTTCTTCATGGTGACGTCTGGCCCTTCACTCTTGCATTTAAAACAGAAAATCGAGAATATAGCCAGTAGCCTTGTATAGAACACAATAAATTTAGGTTCCTTCTGGCAAGGGATGTCTTCGTCAACCCTACAAAATATAATCCAAATATAGGCCATGTTAATTAATTTTCTAGTCTACAGTATTTTACAGCTGCCAAAATTTAATCATGCAATGCTCAGGAGAGTTGAGCAAAAAACACATGCCAGCTGCAAAGGAGACTGAAGAATTTACTGGTTATAGGGATTAGCACTTGGCATTTTTAATTTCAAATAATTTGAAACAGTTTCCAAATTGAACCATTTAAACAAAAAAGGATTGATTAACTAATTAGGCCAACTTTAGCCTCTCCGCAGTCCTCTCTGTACATTTCCACCCAAAAAAGTATCATGTGAGTTGACCTACAGGAGGGTGACTTTTCCTTAGCAACAGCCCTGAAATTATTGACAAGTATTTTGCAGAATTTAATTTTAGATGTTATAAAAATACAAATACTGCAATAAATTAGGCAGTAATAATAATTGTTAAATGTAAGATCAAGGGATATGGAATTATGAAACAAGCCATAGCTTCTTGAGCACGAAAAAGGAAGGATGAGTACCTAATGACCAATAAAAATCATAACATCTTGCCTGATATTGTTCATCGGTGTACTTTCCGTCTCTTCATCATCTGCTTCAATATCGTCATCTCCCTTATCCTCCATCTGACAATGCCAGTCTGGATCGTCTTCCTTTTCATCTGTTAAAATCTCTGTATCCTCCAGTCCAGGGTCTTCCAAACATTCCATATTTTCCACTTCTGTCTCTACCTCCTCCATGTCCTCTTCTTCCTCTCCTTCCTCTTCTAATTCTTCTTTATTGCTGCTTGAGTCATACTATCACATAATTGTGATAAAAAAACTGTTACTAAAAAAAAACCTTTTGAATAAAATATAAAAACCCCCCACATGGTACTGCAGTTTTGCACGAGAGGATGAGTTGGTGGTTGGGGAGGGGTATTTGAGAATTACTTTCTATCTTACATACCAGGAATAGGAAATAAAAAATAACACTTACATTTATTAGTGTGGCTTGTTCTTTCCATTTTTTCTTCTGAGAGCGTAATTTCCCGTTTCGCTTCTGCAGGACTCTTATTTGCATTTTCCGCTCCGCGCACTTTCGGCACTCTCCAAGTGTAGTCTGTGACTGTCTGGATCTCATTTTAGGCTTTGCCTGGGTAGCTCTATTGCAGGCCACGCTCCCCTCGGTGTCAAGACTAAAAGAAGGCGCGTCGTCTTGGTCGGACAAGTCCGACAAGTCACCATCGTAGCTGAATTCTCCCTCCTGGTCTTCACGGTCCTCGCATGATTGCACTGTAGTTGCTGCCCCCTGGCGCTCCACTTTACGCTCCACTTCACGCTCGGTTTCCCGCTCGATTTCCCGCAAATACTGCAATTGTTTATAATAAAGGAGCAAGTTTAGTGGAGATATTACTCTTTGTAAAAGCACTTCCAAATGCTAAGGCATTGCAAAGAACGTTCCAGTGATCACTGAAAGGCCTTTTGTTTCGTCTTACTCGTAATTTTTTAGCAACTCAGTCCGGCCAAGTTGTTGAGGATTTCCTCGATGATTTCGATAAAAATACACTTCAGTTGATCAAATATTTCGTTATTTTGATCTTTGTTTTTCTCAAAAACTACCACTAACTAACAAAGACAAACATAACAGGCTTGTTGTGAAAATTGAAAACAATAACAGGATTGGACACTTACCGCGTTCGATCTCCTTCGATCGCGATCGCTTGGTTCTTTCCTCTCTGGCGCTTTATTGGCGCAGTAAATTGTCGGCACCGATCCTTTGATTAATACACGTTTTTCCTGAAACTTCTCGTTGCTTGGTCCGGAGCTCTCGCCGTTTTCCTCGCTTGTTTCGGCATGCATTAGGGTGCTTAACCTCAGGCGGGTGAAACAACTCTCGTTAAAGTGCAATGAGCACAGATAACTGTATTCGGTGGGTTCCCAATCCGGCCTGTGAGTCCGCACAAACTTAACCCATTGAGCCCTAACTTTCTCATTTTTGGGGAATATGTGCATCGAAATGCCAGGACTATAAGAGTTGTTCGTACAACTTATTTGACCCGGAGCACCGGCCGCACAAGTCTTGCCTCCACTTCCACGCTTCGCCATCACAGTGATCTGACTGGAAATGTGAATTCGCCGCGCTCGACGAGTCAACCATGTGACGTCATATGCATATTTAATTAAGGATCTGCTTGTCCCCTTTTGTGCCGCAATTTGGCCATGTTTGTGTTGGAAAAAAATGCCGAAAACAACGTTTTCCTAGCGTCAAAACTTATTTTCCTTTTCAATTAGATATTGAACTAATAATTTATTGCTATTTTTCACTTGATTATTTTTGGGTTCAGTAGCACTTTAAATAAGCTTCAGATTGACGGCCGAGGAGAAGAGAAATCATGCAGGTAATTTACTTTCTCTTCGCACTTGAAAAGTTTCAATGTTTGTTCGAACTGATTAGTGTGTCTTTCTATTTGTGTAACCTTTGTTTATGCGAGTTTTTGTATCGCATTTGCTGAATGAAAATGATGTAAACATCTTCGAGACAATCGAAACTCGGCATTTCAATACTTCAAACCACATCAAATCAGTAGTCGGAGAAATCCACCTTTTAAATCTAATAAATGAGCTATTACTATTTCTGTCTATTTCTTTAATATTTGACATAAGTATTCACGGGCGAAAAAAATTAAACCTGTGTAACCAAAACTTTGTTCACCAATTTCATCCGAAGTAGTTACGCGTAATTGCTTCCTTCAATTATCGAAGAATTTATTCATTGTTCTAAAGATTAGATCACATGCAAAAGTGCCTTGCATTTTTGTGAACTGTGATGACAACAAGAAAATCTTTGCGAGTGTTGTTTCCCTCTCCGCCTCTTCTCTCGTAGTCTACTGTCTGTAGTGCAATCTTAACGTTCTATATTTGCACGACTCAACCCAGTGCTACAAACGAAGGACAACGCTCGTCCAGCTGTAGTTCGTAGTCCGTAGTCTCCGTATCTTAAACTCCCTAATGTAGTTCTCACTGTATAAAGACAAGAGCCATAATGGGATAAAGACGAATCCGCCAACTACAGGCCTTTACCCTCCCGGAAATTATAGGGTTAAAAAACACCGTGATTCAAGAGTTCCCACTAGTAAGTTTTCTTTCTTTTGCAAAGAAGCAATGGCAATACTATTTTGTCTTTTTCAGTCGGAGCCCTTTTAAAGGAAGTGAGTCTCGTAAGCGCACAGAATGGCCGCCTTGACAAAATCTAGTTTATACTCCACCGCACAAAAATCATTGCCGTAAGAGGCCAGCTTAATTTGCCTTTTTTTTTCTTCTGGAGGGTGCCCGTTTAAGAGAGCTTTGACTGTTATATACGCAGGTGAGTGATAATCATCTCTGCCTGCTGCAGATGACGTTTTGGGCTCGAACGCAAATAACACGGCGGAACATTTATATAACGTCCATTCGCGATCAATTAAACTCCACAAGCTGTCGAACTATAATTTGGAGTTACTTCTGTTGGTAGGTAAAGCATTATTTTTGTTTTTTCTAACAAGCAAAATTCACCTAGTTTGTTTAGCAAAATTATCATAATGATAATCGAGTGCCATTCTAAGCCTACTATTTAACTTATAATTCTGCTAATTAATGAAAACCTGTTCATCCTTTTCTTTTGTTTCTGTGTGAAACAAACATATGTAAATGGCTGCCTGGCCTTTTTACTTTCGGGTAGTCAGTACCCCCTTTACATTCGTTGTTTATCTCAGCGGAGTTGTAACATGACTTATAAGAAAGTTAATCTTGTCATGGTTAGCACATATTACTAATAATTGGGGCAAATGGCGCCGAAGTTGTCAAATTAAATCCGTTTGGAATATATATATATATATATATATCTATATATCTATATATCTATAAACCAAATGTGAGCCTCGATGATGGGGCTTTATACAGCACTGTTGGGCCCATTTATGTGGTCAAGGATACCCAAGGCTCCTCTACCCCGAGTAATTAAGGACTAGCTGCCCTCTGAAAATTCTCATTTAACCATTTTTATGCGAACCGTAAACTCCCGTACTGCGGAGGCAAAACAACTCGGGGAGATGGGGACAGTTTAAGTAGCCAGTAGAGTTAAAATTTCGACTTGCCTATTCTGGGCAACCCATGGTTTGTCAGTTTGTTGAAGCTTAAAACTAAAAGAAAGGTTAAATCTGAATTAACCGTCCTTATTATTAAAGAAACAAGGCAAGAAGACGTGAGATTATTTGGACGATTATTGAGAATAACACTTTCTTAATACAATATAAATACTTGATGTAGGCTGCCTAGCGGGCACCAAACACCGCATAAAAAGGCTCCTAATACAAATGACATTCCTGTTCTTTATACCCACGAAACAAGCTTGTCAAGATGCGTTGAAACCTCGAGTTAAAAAAGTAAAGCAGCTGGTTGCTCAAACCTGCCTAAACATAGGGCTAATTTTGGCAAATGTCAAATAAGGGAGAAAAATACGTTAACTTACGTCATTGTTTGTCTATGGTCAGGTAGTAAACGGAAAGTGCATTATTTCAGTTCTGCTTCGTTTTGTATTTTGATAGCCTAATTGATCGTTCAACCTGATCACTGCGAACAAGATAATTATATTAAGTCAATTTGTAGTTATTTTGACTAATCTTTCAAGTGCAAGGCACTATAAAGTTGACAGATGGCAATTACTGGTAGTAACTTTTAGCAGCCAAGCTCTAATTTCAATGTATGTTCTATTTTGGAAGGCAATACAACACGTTCAACCGGAATATTTTTCCAAGAAAACAACTTGTTTTACCCGGGAAGGGAGAAAGGTTCCAATATGAAATAAGCGATGTGGCCTAGGATCAGGCTTTGTAGTCAGGGAAAAAAGCACAAAAAAGGGTGAAACAGTTAAAGAACAAAGAAAAGAAAAAAGGAAANTTAAGTCAATTTGTAGTTATTTTGACTAATCTTTCAAGTGCAAGGCACTATAAAGTTGACAGATGGCAATTACTGGTAGTAACTTTTAGCAGCCAAGCTCTAATTTCAATGTATGTTCTATTT